AACAATGCGTACTGAGAAACAAGCTTCAGAAGTTCGTATTTTAGTCCCTGTTTTGGAAGATCCGTGCCTGGGGCGGAGCTTTTCCCATTCCTACTGTTAATTTTTAGCCAGCTATACGCTTTTTTTAAACAAGGGGAAAACTTGAAAAACGCTGCCGAAGAAATGACTTTGTCGTACGCTTTTACTGGGTGTCAACTTAAGAATTTTAAGAACAGCCTTCTCAGTTACTAATTCATTAATTTACTTGCTTAATCCCGTGTTCTTTCGTCATTTCTGCAATCAGGACTACCTCTTTTGTTTGAAAGCTGAAGGTGAGAGCCAGGAATCAAATGTTCGCAGGTGAATCAGTCAAATCACACCGATTTACTTTGCCCGTTACAGTAACTACTACATTCTGACGTAAATGCTTTGGAAATCGCACTAAGAAGCTTAATCCAGTGGGTGGAAGTCTTGCCAACTGTTCACTTAGAAGGCAACTCAATATTTTAATGATGTAGGCAGTGGACTACGAATATGGTGTTATGACCCGGAGTAAGCACGTCAAAAGTGAAACCTACCTGCCCTTGCTGCTGCACGAGGGAGCTTCCAGAGTTCACAGAATCCGCTGAAAAGTGAATTTAGATGATTTTTATTCCAAATTAACTTATGAATGATGATCAAAATTAATCATCTCAATCGGGTTACGAGAATTATCTGTTCGGGCTGTACTGTTGACCAGGTACAACACTGTGTCTGCATACGTGAATCAACTTCGCCTGATGTAGACACTAGTATAACATCAGATATGCGTTCGTGAGATGAAGATAGAATTCCAGCTAATTTTACGGCCACTCAAACGCAGCGTGTAGAATAAATAGAACTTATCATAGACTGATAGGATTAGGGGTCTATAGATGACCACTGTCCAAAAAATCAACCCATAGTTTTCATGGGGACATCGCATTGTACACACATTGAGCAGTATCCTTTGAAGTGCCTCTACGATCATGGTAGTGAGTGAACTTTCAACAAATGGCTTCAATTGGTATATAATGATACTTAATTTGAAAGTAATTTTGGGAAACATGGTAAAACAACTACTAATGAAGGAGCGGACAGGCTTCCGTCGAGCTTTGGTCGGACATAAGATGATCTTTAAGAAAAAATGCAGTATCTTGAATGTTGGCTATCGTGAACTTCGAGGTAACCTGTCGGTAACAGTCGGCTGAAAAGCCCTACAAAAGATATTTTCAGTCAAGTCTCACACCAAAGCCAGCTCATTCTGCAAATGATGGGGGTCGTAAATAGTATGGATCGTGTTCACCACATCAAGAGTGGCTTTAAACCAGAGATGCGCTAACTGGAACAATGATCCGCTACATTTGCTTCGTCTTCTTCCTCGTGAATTAGTTAGATCTACCCATTCCAGTTAAACGGGGTTGGAAAAAACCCGACTTCAAATATCGCCATAATCGATATACGTCGGTACGGAATTCCTCCATGTTTGTTCCCAAAGCATCGACAGTTGTTTTGTGCAAGTACCCGAATTTCGAACCCCAGCAATGGTGCGGTACCATGCCCACTAGGGCTAAACACGGTCTCAGTCTTTGTCACATGAAAAAGAATATAGCGATCGGGTCTAAAATGTACGATTGGAGTTTAGACCAATAATATATCAATTTCAACCAAATGATACTAAAACCCTTCCTTGGTTGTGACGCCGCCAAGACGAATCCTAGGCCCAGCTGTCTTACTCCGAATTACCATCCAGACATGGTTGCTGTGCTACATCATTGCCCCTGGAAGGCCTTTCCAGTCAAATAAGGAATTGTTGATCTGTGATCAAGAATTTTTTGCTTGGGGAGGGTCATTTAAATTCGGAAGGGGTGACCTGTCATTCCGTACCCCTGGTGCATGGCGTCATCCGGACAATAATGATAAGACCCCATCTGTGTATTGTCATCTAATGAGGATTTCTAAGTGCCATTGATTTATTTTACCCAAGGAGATGGGTTAAGAGCTTGCCAGAATAACTGTTCTGATAGTTTGTAGGATAGAGCATCTGGTCAGACGTTGTGAAAACATCTTGAGTCGGTTCAGTGTGGCCAGGTCGCGTGGGATAGCTCTTAAATACTCCGGACCCTCAAGATTACATGCATCGCTGGAGTGCGAAGAATAAAGACCTACTTCTGTGCGCTCAAATGGGGATAGGCATCCAGTTCTGGTCATTTTACAGCACACTTCAGAGTTTCAACCTCTAAACTTAGAGCAAAACACAGGTGACCGATAACTTTTTCATGAAAAAGGCAACTTTTCTAAACCTTGTAAAGAAATGGGGCCAGTGAGAGAGTGAGGATGATCAAAGCCATGAAAATTTCCCCCGTTTCAAATGGGATAAATTCAGTGAATCCTGTATGAAAAATATGGTACGAACAAGTGCCTCATTACCGATAGAAACTCACCATACTGGGTCGTTTCTTCAACCGTAGCTTCCCCCGCATATTGTTGAATTCCGTTGGTCATCATTCCGTGGTCGTTATGTTGCAGTGCATAATTCGATAGGCTCAAACGAACTGCATGTCCTGGTGACTGTGCCAGGGATGATGGATATGCCTGAATGGCTGATTTTGGATAAGGTAGTTTAATGTGGTCAAGCACGTTTGGCTTATGTAATGACATGTCTAAACTCCCAGTCAAACCACTGCCTCTGACTAGTTTTTCGCCTAAGATCGCAGTTGCAGGACCTTGCACACCCTTAAATCGAGAACGCCTAGCATCTTCAAAGCAAAACGGTCCGTCTAATCCCAGATGTAGATGCTTATCCAATCCGTTGTCGGGTTTCTGATCTCGATCGCCTGCATTGTTCGTTACACAGTTTGTGGATTTGCTGGCGTCGTGCGCACAAGCGGGATTCAGCGACGCACTGGATGCTCGAATTTGTCTATCCGTAGCCATAGGGCTGGCTACCGAGGCGACCGGTAGTCTCCCATTCGATGAAGAATGGGTGAACGGATTATCATTAGCCCGGCGATCAATAAACCCACCTAGGGCTGTGGAGGGTCTAGGCCTAGATGATATGTTACCGGTTTGCGGTGTTTCAGCATCATTCGAACGACGTTCTTCCAGGGTTGCCGATGGCTGATGTTCTGAAGTTGTTCGAGGACGCAAAAGCAGGTTCGTCGTGCGCACAAGCGGGATTCAGCGACGCACTGGATGCTCGAATTTGTCTACCCGTAGCCATAATTGGGGCTACCGAGGCGACCGGTAGTCTCCCATTCGACGAAGAATGGGTGAACGGATTATCATTAGCCCGGCGATCAATAAACCCACCTAGGGCTGTGGAAGGTCTAGGCCTAGATGATATGTCACCGGTTTGCGGTGTTTCGGCATCATTTGAACGACGTTCTTCCAGGGTTGCTGATGGCTGATGTTCTGACGTTGTTCGAGGACGCAAAAGTAGGTTTGGGGTTGGACGCTTTTTAAGAGTGCCAGGATCTACCAAAGAGTTCCCAAATGGAACGAGAAGTTCCAGTGCGGCGTACTCACTCTCGACATCCGAGAAACAATATTTCTCATCCCAGAAGTTACTTTTGTCGTTTGCATCTAGAGTTAGCTTGGATAAAGAAGACAGGAGCTGTTCCGGATCTGAACAGTCGGAGCCTAAGCAGAGTAAGCCAACCTTGCTGCTATCTTCATGTGCTTTGTTCTCCCTCAAACATGGGTGCTTCGCAGTTGATGGATTTTCCAAGCTATCCGAAGAAGGTACAGACGGGCTAGTAAGTGATGCGCTGTTGGTCAGTTTGGGCTCTGCGTCTCCTGTGGAATAATGCTGTACCAAAGTCTCTGTGCTGCATATGGGTTTCATCAAGGCAGCCATTGAATTCAGATCGCTACCGAAAAAAAAATAATCCGGAAAAAGGCATAAATCCAGCAATCTCAACTGAGAACAGTGCACTTATTAGGACGCCTTCTTGAACAAAATAGCGATTCTGTCACTAATGTCGGGGACCAAGCGCATGGAAATGTTCAGAATTACCAGATTGTTGATCCACCCTCACCGAGTGTCATAATCCCTGTGCATTGCAACATCTTATTAATTGGCTTTTCGCAACAAAGTAGGCCTACGAATTGCTCACCGCACAGCTCAAGCTTATAAAGGGGACAGTGCGAATGCTATTAAGGAATAGTGGTGAGAACAACGCATACTAATGAACGGCAAATCGCAGAAGAGCTGGAAGGATCGTTGGTAACTCCAAACAGTGGGGCTTTTTATCACACTGTTTCTAAAATCTCCTGGAAAGGGGAATATTGTGATGAGTTTTTCAGCGATTTCTTATCTGAACCCGTTGACAGGAGGTAGTTCGAGATAAATTCAACAAATAGTGCGAGAATACAAATAAACGGTTCTTACCAAGGAGATGGGTTAAGAGCTTGCCAGAATAACTATTCTGATAGTTTGTAGGATAGAGCATCTGGTCAGACGTTGTGAGAACATCTTGAGTCGGTTCAATGTGGCCAGGTCGCGTGGGATAGCTCTTAAATACTCTGGACCCTCAAGATTACATGCATCGCTGGAGTGCGAAGAATAAAGACCTACTTCTGTGCGCTCAAATGGGGATAGGCATCCAGTTCTGGTCATTTTACAGCACACTTCAGAGTTTCAACCTCTAAACTTAGAGCAAAACACAGGTGACCGATAACTTTTTCATGAAAAAGGCAACTTTTCTAAACCTTGTAAAGAAATGGGGCCAGTGAGAGAGTGAGGATGATCAAAGCCATGAAAATTTCCCCCGTTTCAAATGGGATAAATTCAGTGAATCCTGCACGAAAAATATGGTACGAACAAGTGCCTCATTACCGATAGAAACTCACCATACTGGGTCGTTTCTCCAACCGTAGCTTCCCCCGCACATTGTTGAATTCCGTTGGTCATCATTCCGTGGTCGTTATGTTGCAGTGCATAATTCGATAGGCTCAAACGAACTGCATGTCCTGGTGACTGTGCCAGGGATGATGGATATGCCTGAATGGCTGATTTTGGATAAGGTAGTTTAATGTGGTCAAGCACGTTTGGCTTATGTAATGACATGTCTAAACTCCCAGTCAAACCACTGCCTCTGACTAGTTTTTCGCCTAAGATCGCAGTTGCAGGACCTTGCACACCCTTAAATCGAGAACGCCTAGCATCTTCAAAGCAAAACGGTCCGTCTAATCCCAGATGTAGATGCTTATCCAATCCGTTGTCGGGTTTCTGATCTCGATCGCCTGCATTGTTCGTTACACAGTTTGTGGATTTGCTGGCGTCGTGCGCACAAGCGGGATTCAGCGACGCACTGGATGCTCGAATTTGTCTATCCGTAGCCATAATTGGGGCTACCGAGGCGACCGGTAGTCTCCCATTCGATGAAGAATGGGTGAACGGATTATCATTAGCCCGGCGATCAATAAACCCACCTAGGGCTGTGGAGGGTCTAGGCCTAGATGATATGTTACCGGTTTGCGGTGTTTCAGCATCATTCGAACGACGTTCTTCCAGGGTTGCCGATGGCTGATGTTCTGAAGTTGTTCGAGGACGCAAAAGCAGGTTCGGGGTTGGACGCTTTTTAAGAGTGCCAGGATCTACCAAAGAGTTCCCAAATGGAACGAGAAGTTCCAGTGCGGCGTACTCACTCTCGACATCCGAGAAACAATATTTCTCATCCCAGAAGTTACTTTTGTCGTTTGCATCTAGAGTTAGCTTGGATAAAGAAGACAGGAGCTGTTCCGGATCTGAACAGTCGGAGCCTAAGCAGAGTAAGCCAACCTTGCTGCTATCTTCATGTGCTTTGTTCTCCCTCAAACATGGGTGCTTCGCAGTTGATGGATTTTCCAAGCTATCCGAAGAAGGTACAGACGGGCTAGTAAGTGATGCGCTGTTGGTCAGTTTGGGCTCTGCGTCTCCTGTGGAATAATGCTGTACCAAAGTCTCTGTGCTGCATATGGGTTTCATCAAGGCAGCCATTGAATTCAGATCGCTACCGAAAAAAAAATAATCCGGAAAAAGGCATAAATCCAGCAATCTCAACTGAGAACAGTGCACTTATTAGGACGCCTTCTTGAACAAAATAGCGATTCTGTCACTAATGTCGGGGACCAAGCGCATGGAAATGTTCAGAATTACCAGATTGTTGATCCACCCTCACCGAGTGTCATAATCCCTGTGCATTGCAACATCTTATTAATTGGCTTTTCGCAACAAAGTAGGCCTACGAATTGCTCACCGCACAGCTCAAGCTTATAAAGGGGACAGTGCGAATGCTATTAAGGAATAGTGGTCAGAACAACGCATACTAATGAACGGCAAATCGCAGAAGAGCTGGAAGGATCGTTGGTAACTCCAAACAGTGGGGCTTTTTATCACACTGTTTCTAAAATCTCCTGGAAAGGGGAATATTGTGATGAGTTTTTCAGCGATTTCTTATCTGAACCCGTTGACAGGAGGTAGTTCGAGATAAATTCAACAAATAGTGCGAGAATACAAATAAACGGTTCTTAATCTTCGAGAAATACACTCGTTTGCAAATCAATTTGGTTTTCAAGAGTAACCTAACTGAATGTCTCGATATGATATTTTTCTTTATGAAAATATACTGTAATTTCTGGAAACATAAGGCTGCAGCACATTCAGTTGCGGAATATCATAAACGAGAGATTCAGTTGAGTCACTCGTGAAAACCAAATTGATTTGCAAATGAGTGTACTTCTCGAAAACAGTCCTATTTGGGTTCAAGTAGAACATACAGTTGACGGAAACTTGGGGACTGCGCCTACCTGAAGATCGGCGAAACCGGTCGTGGGCTGTCGAAGAGTTTTCAGCAACCTTGTGAATAGTTTCCTTTATGAAAAGAAGTTCTTAGTCTTGCTGTAAAAGGTGTTTTTATTCTAAATTAGGAGAGGTCACCAGCTGCAAGTATATTCCTCTGAAAAGGCTACTTTGTCCATAATGGCACTGCGTAACAGAAATCAAATTATATTCCAACTTCCAAAGTTGAACAAGACAGTATGTGAATTTTGTCGTTGAGTGAACCCGCGAGATTGGTAGATAAAATAAAAGCAGAAAAGAAAACCAATCATATGAGACATCTAGCGCTTTCTGGAGGTTGTTCCCTTGTTGCTACCAGAAGGCCTCGAAATTATCGTGAGATTTCACGTTTCCTGACATAGTCACACATTCATCAGGGTCTATGAACTGATTTTCTAATTACTGGGTCATACTTTTGAAACAAGCTGCATGAGTTTGAAGGAAATGACCGTAACTCGGTGAGGTTATGGTTTCTCTGTAAAAGTGAAGATAATCGACGGTCATTTCACATGATGTAAACACCCTTACGAGTCTCATATTTGAGACCATGGTTCTGTTTTCAGGTGAGGTGAAGGGACTAACTGTAACAACTTTTCGCTGCGTAGTTGCCATGCCACGAGGGCTGAACTACTGCCAGGTTGCTCAAACCTAGACAGGACCAGTCGAATTGCCGGAGTTGGGTTCCAGTCAGGGACCTTCTGACCGGTAAGTTTGCACTTTAAGTATAAATCTATCTCAAGCTAAGTTGTTCATGTGTTAGAGGGTGTACCAAGTGAGCATAAAAGGCATATGGCCTTCTTATTTCACTCAGAGAAGACGGTGGCCGGTATCTTCCACTAACGTTGGGTACCACTTATTTTCAGTGTTCGCGCCTGGAGAATGAAAATCAGCAAACGACAGAATCCATGTAGTCTATTATACTTGCCTGGTCTGTTGTTTCCAGTTGACGTCGTCTTCCGCATTTTCTGGAAGGGTAGGATTCCACTGAGATAGTTTATTTATCGAACTGTATACCAGTGATGTGTGAAGTGGTATATCAGTCGCCGGGGATTCACGTAAACTCAGCTGGAACGTGGAAGTATGCAGTCTGCAGTTTGGAGCGGATTCATCCCAGTTTGGCTCTTCGCGTTCACCAGAACGAGCTGTTGACCCACTTTCGACGGACACATTCATTTCTGTCGAGGTCCCTGAAACAGGGCACTGTGGCTTGTTGTAATTTTGACAGGCTAACTGTTTAGTGGGAGTGTGTGTGTTCACAGTGAATGCACACGCATTTCCTTGTGTTGTCAAAGTGTGCGGCCTAGTAGGGGAAGTCATCGTGGGAGGCTTTACATCTAGCGGGCGTTGATCGGCCTCGGAATATACCGTATAAAGTCGGTTACCGTGATGTGTATTCTTTGGCTCATCTCTACTTTTGACCAAACTGTACAGTTCTCGCGCTCGTTGGCGGCTAATCTGCTTTGATTTTTCACCTATTTGACCATAAGGACTGTGTGCTGGTAAGGACGTTGGTGAGGTTGGTGTTCGAGGCTGACAGCGTTGTTCAGGCAAGCGGAACTGGCTGCCAATGATTATGGCCGGCTCGGTGGACTTGGCCCTAAAACAACTTTGCCTTTCAGTATGCTTGGATATGGTTGTTTCAGCGACAGCTTTCGGCAAGTTTGGTCGGTTTGCTGGGCATTCTTGAAGAGAGACGCCAAGTTCTCTTGCTAAGGTGTTAGGCTGTGTTGGCACTTCCATGGGTGAGGTGCACACGCTGTCTTTAGAGTAGGACGAGGACGAAATACCGCTATCAAAGTATGTTTTCTCATCGGCTGTAGACAGACTGGAGTTGGCGGAGTTAGAGCTAGTCAAAGTGGCTAGCTTGGTAGAGGATGGTGTAGCTGAATCAGTATTGAAGTGCGTCTGTACCAAACTACTAATCTCATCCATGCTTGTTTGTTTCGGTGGTAGTCTTGATACGGGTAAGGAGGTTGAACGAGGAGTGAAGAGAGACGGGATTCCAGCGGGCATATGGTCCAAGTAATTTGGGTGTCTCAAGCTTCTTGTGGGAGTTTTCAGATCCGCACGTGTTGAGGGGCATTGGTATACAGACTGTGATGCGTAGCATGAGTTGGGTGGGTGGTTTTGCATTGGCGAGGGAATCTGGCTGCAGGTCAAAATTGGTGGGCTTGTGGTCTTCCCAATCAGACATCCAGATGACGTTTGATTAGGAGTAACTGGTCCATGGGGTGCATATTGCAACAAGACTGGACTAGAACGTTGAGGTGTGGTAGATTGACTGTTTGGAGCAAATGGACTGATTGGTTGAGAATAGTGAGGCATAGTACGTGGCTCGCTATTTCTGCTGCCAAAAATACTTTGTCGTCCTGGACCACTCTGATGATTACCCTGAGATTTCTTGAGATTCTCACGCAAGGAATACTGAGTTTGGTTCTTTACTGAATCATTATGATCGCTTGCGCACGAAGTTACTTCAGACCGATTTCGGACTCTATGAATTTCGTTTCCAGGGGGCTTACTAACATAATCCGTGATAGTAGTAGTCTTGCGCTGTTTCAATTTACTGTGTTCCTGAATCACAGAGTCTGCAGAGGCTTCACGATATCCTGTGGGCGTTTTTGATCGCTTCTTTAGAGTGTGTTTGGATTTTCCAGACGACTCTTTAGTGTTTGTCAGGGGGGGTTTCGGAGCATTTGAATGCTTTATACTGGAACCACTTGCAAAGTCTGTTTGCGAATCACCAGCGTGAGGCTGCTGCTTAAAATGTTGTAACATCTGGGGTGGCATATTGACCAACGTGGGAGTGGTTTCACTGCGCCCGGCAGTTGATCCTTTCATGGATACACACTGAGTGCCTGTAGGGAACTGTTGTGCACACTTGGACTGTGCAGCCAGAAACAGGTCTGACTGAGGCATTTGGGATGGATGGGAGGTGAGTCCAAATGTAGGTGTAGGGGCACGCAGAGTGCCACTGTGTACCCTGCGATTGGAAAGCTGAACGGATGAAGAGTTTGGCAGAAATGTTGACTGCGATTCGACTTTTGATTGGGTTGTCCAGTTGGAACACTGAGATTGGAAGACTGAGCACGGAGATCGATGACTTAGCGAACTAGCACGTCGACATAAAGGTGGCGGGACGGAATTCGGATAAGAACCGCAGTTCATTCCAGTGGTCATTATTTGTCCAGACAGACCTGAGTTTCCATATAGATATGTGGGTGAAACCATCGGGTATTCTGTTGGAAATAAATCGGGAAAATATATTTAAACTGTGGAAATTGTGTAGCAGATCAATGCAAAATAGCTGAAGAATTTGTTCTCCCAAACCTCCCTGAAGATTTTCCTAAGTAGAGGAAACTACTCACAAGGTTGCTGAAAACTCTTCGACAGCCCACGAGCGGTTTCGCCCTTCTTGGGGCTCATCAGGTAGGCGCAGTCTCCGAGTTTCCGTCAACCTTAAAAAGACTTGAGAGAAGCGAAGCTTGTGTCGGTTCTAATTATTTCAAAAGGATGGCGAAAATACAACAACTCGAACGCTTATGATTACGAAGCGAAATTTCAAAGTTCAGCCTCGGCTCTGTCGGTAAATCAGATAAGGATAATACGAAGTCATTGTTCAAAACTGTCTACGTCAAACAGAAGGAACTTTACTGGGTGCATATGCACAAATCTTTCCAAAATGTCTAGTTACTTGTAAGGTAAAGGGAGCTTGCACAAGGTACTAGCCTTCAAAGAATGCACTCTTCCACAGTACTGTGTGAATGAAGCACTAGTGTATAATTGACATCGAAAAGAAGCTTGACTCAGTGGATTGATTCTCCTTCCGCCTTAAATCTCTACCAACCTCGCAACCTGGTCATTTGGCCTGAAGAAGCCTTTGTATCAAGAGGGGAACGTTGCTCAGCAATAAATCTGCCAATTGTCACCAAACTTTTCCTAAGACGAAGATCCTATCTTTATCACGCACTGACAAAAAATACTTAGAATATGCTATCGACTCACCAAAATGGTTCATTTTATGTGATGATGTTGTCACGGTTTAAAACGGGCATGGAGACCGAAAGTACGTTCCGTTTCAGAAAAGCTTCGCAAACAGGCTGTAGTTTTTAACTGAACAACATTACACTTTTGACACAAACTTCATCAGGCCAAGTGAGCAGGCCACCAAGC